AGCTATCTCCCAAGTCCTGTGGCTGAATTTCTTGTCAGAGGTCAATTTTCTCACCTGGAGAAATAGAAATGAAGGCAAAAAGCAAGGCCCAGGGGATTACAGAGATGTGTAGAGTATTCAGTGCTATTCTTGACCCGCCCTCTAAAGCGCTCCTTCTTATGTCATCATTGTAGGCTTCCTCTGAAGAAGTTGTTAGGTGCTTATGGAAATATCAAGGAATCCTGAAATCCTGGCCACATACCCAGGCTGCCCCCTGCAGGGAGGTTTGTGACCAATTCTACTACAGTCATTCTTTTCTGTGGAACCTTGGGGTGCTCCTGGGTAGAAGGGCTACCAGACTTCTGTGGCTGCTGCCTGCAATTGGGAGGAATGTTTTGCACAGACTTAAAAAAAAAAATGAAATATTGCCATTGTTTCTTCAGGACCTATTGCTTGGGCTGCACAGAGGATTCATCCTGGCCCAGGTGAGGAAGACTCAGGATTTGATAGAGGCAGATATCCTGCTTTTGCCTGACAATGTTTTTTCCCCCTTATCTGAAAGGAGGCTTAGGAAATCCAGAGGCAGTTGGTCCGGGCCCAGCAACACTTTTGAAGGGCCAACTGAAGCCAGCTGTTAGCCCTCCACATGTGTGGGTTGGCTTCCCTAGTGAGCCCCATGTTCCTGCACAAGCTCCCCTGGGGGATGTCTGCACTACTAGACTGTAGTCACTCTCCCTTTCAGACAGCAAAGGTGTGCATACAAGACTGTCCATACAAGAATCAAAAGTAATTCGCTCTGACAGCCAGTGTATCTATCATGATTCCTCTGGTGGCAAGTACAAAATTAACTCAAACCAGCCTCAATAATAGAGGAATTTATCTCCTGAGAGGATAATGGGGGATGATGCTGGCTTTGAGGCAAGCTCAGACCCAGGAATGCAAGAAGAGCAGTGCCTGCTTCCTGTCCAACTCTCTGATCTTCCTTCTTCTGTTTATCCTATAACTTCAGGTGGACTCTCCCAGTCAACAGCTAAGAAGCCCAGGAAGCTCCAGACCCCAACTGCCCTGGTAGCGGGAGATTCCAGTTGAGAAAAGCCTGTTTCTCCTGCAGTTCCTCAAGAAGCCTAAAGGGGGCGCCTATAGTCTGGGCAAACAGCCTGCTCTGAGCAAGAAGGGAGGTGCGCAGCCCGCAGATGAGAGCCTCCCTTTTAGCCGGGAACGCATCACCAGTCCTTGCTACTTCTCTTTCACAAGTCTTATTCCATTTTGTATGTTAGTTCGTTAGGATGATAGGATGAACGAACTAAAGGTAGGAAGAGAGGAGACAAGGAAAATTGGAATTTTAAAGCTGTACTTTTAAGAAAACTGGCTTCAGGGCACCATCAAAGTCACCCAAGGTTTCAGTGTCTTTTTTCTCCTTTCCATGTAACTCATCCTAAAATCCCTGCCTCTCAAAAAGAAACGGGGCTGGTGACAGCTCAGTGGACTAAGCGTCTGCTTAGGCAAGTGCAGGGACCAGGGTTCGATCGCTGATACAGCATACCATCCTGGCCCCCACCCCAGGCTTGCTGAACTGGTGACCAAATGGGGTATGGTGGTGCATGCCTGTAACCCCAGCACTGGGAGGCTGGAAGAAGGAGGATCACTATGAGTTGGAGCTGTGAAGTGAGACCCTCTACCAAATACATAAATTTTAAAAAAAGATACAATAAGCCTGTGACATAATTGCTGTTCTTTTATAAAATGGGTCCATGCTTTCCCCCTAATACCATAAACAGACAAATTCCAGATTTCTACTTCCAAAGGCACTGAAGTACCCCCAGTCTAAGTTGCCCCATCTTGGCAGCACCCTTGTGCCTTTCTGAGTGTGTACTTCTTCGATTCTGCTTTTCAAATATCTGCCCACATCTCATGCTGATGTATTCTGAAATACTGTCATGTGACAAAACTCAGCAAGTATATACCATGTGTGTGTGTGTGTGTGTGTGTGTGTGTGTGTGTGTGTGTGTTGAGGCCTCCATCTCCTCTTAGAGAGAGCCTCCTCAGACTCCAGCCAATGACAGTAGGACTGCCATCATAGGATGTCACAGACCACTTAAAACAACAGAAGTTAATTTTGTTAAGTTCTGGGCACTGGGAGTCCAAGACCAAAGCGTCAGCAGAGTTGGCTTCCTTGGACATCATCTTTGGCTCGTGGACGGTCATTTCTGTGCAGGTGTTCCTAGTCTCTGTATGTCCTAATCTCTTATGAAGATATCAGTCAGCTTGGACAAAATCCTCTCTAATGGCCTCAAATCAATCACCTCTTTAAAAGTCCTGTCTCCAAACACAGTCACATTCTAAGGCACTGGGGGCTAGGGCTTCAACATGTGAAGTTGGGGACGGAGTGACAGGGCAGCTTGTGAATGGTGAAGCTCAAGCTGGCAGTGTGTTCTTATCTGTGGCACTGCAATGTTCTTCCCACAGCCTATGGCACTGTCCATGGGGGCAAAGCCTGTGTGCTCAGAGCGGTGAGTGAGCTAAGGGACTGTAGCAGACTAAAACCTCAGGGTGGAAGTCAGGACACCCTGTGAAAGCAGCTAGTGGCAGGTGAGTCTGGGCCCTGCATCAGAGCTTGTGGTTAATTGGGCCTGACTATTAAAGAATCTTGCACTTCTTGTCTCTGCAGTACCTTCAGCTTATTTCTGTTTGGGTCCCCACATCCAGTCGTGATGTGGATGCCAAGGAACTCTAGGTTGCCTTCTCCCTATGCTCACTCAACCAGAACAATGACTTCCGCAGTGTGGTATTCAGACTGCCAGTGACCAGCTAAGGTGGTGCAAATGTCACACAGGCCAGCATCTTTGGAGAGTTAAGACATTTATTTAAATTTGTATGAAAGACATAGGACCAATCTGATGAACTGTTAATTGCACTGATATTAAAATGGAAACATCTCATATGAGTTGATTGAAAGAACAGTGTTCCATAAATAACATTAAGTAAATAAATAATTTGGTGACCAAGGGCGAAGGTTGGGTGGGAGAGTTCCCCTGTGAAGGAAACGCTTTGGCTCATGGGTGTAGATGTCACACTGTCTTTTAACCTGCTTTATCTGCACACATGGCCATGATTGGACCTGGGCACTATGCCTGGCCATGGCTGTTGTTCTCTGGGGTCTCCTGCACTGTGTCCCTGTGCCAATCACACTGGACTAGGGCGAGTAAGGGGGCAGGAGAGCTCTTGTTTATTTAGAGTCCCATCTGGGGCTTCCAGTTGGATGAACAAGCATTCCAAGATTTTCACCAAGATTTTGGGTATTAATGGAGTTGGCACAGTTCTGTTAACTGTCATTAATTTTACATTTATTAATTTTCGGTTTTTTTTTTTTTGAGACAGGTCTTGGTAGGGAGTTCAGGCTGTCTTTGAACTAGCTATGTAGTGCAGGGTGGCCTTGAACTCATGATACTTCTCCTGCCTCAGCTTCCCATGTGCTGGGATTACAGGAATGAGACACCATGTGCAACTGCCGTTAACATTAGTGCTTTTTTCTTTTGATTTTTGCTAGCTGTAGGGAAGAGCTGCCCTTGCACTCCATGTGTGGCCCTGCTCAGCAGCTGGCTGCAACCACTGACTCCGTGCCCAGCACTGTCCAGGGCGCTGCTTCTGGTGCCGGCTGGAAGGGTGGGTTCCTAGTGCAGCAGAGCTGGCTTCTTCACTGATCTGCTCAGGTGCCCACCTGGCTTGGCAACCTGCAGAGACTTAAGCGCTCACCTTCTGCGGCCTTACAGCCCCCTCCAAGCCTCTGTGTTCTGCCTTATGAATGTAAAGTTGCCCTTTACAAGGGGTTGTGTGAACAAAGCAGGGCGAAGTGTGCACCTGAGGCCCTTCTGAGAGCAGATAGACTATGCTGTTGAACACTTCTTCCACAAAGTTTACATCGATTTAGTTTATGAGAGACTGAGTTAAACAGGCAAAGAAGGACTTTAAGTTCTTTTGGCAATGCATGCTGTAAATCTACAAGGCAAGCTGCATGATGTGTTCTTTAATGGCAGAGTGGCTGTGCAGAGACTCTGAGATTCATAGACTCAGAGATCCTTCCCTTTTGTGCCCTTCTTTTCTCACCTTGTGGCAAAGGGTTGCCTTACACAATGGAGACTGAAAAGGCTAAGCACCCAGTTTCCCAGCCTTCACTGCAGTAAGGGCACAGGCATACACTTGAGTTCTGGCCAGAGGGATCTGAGCAGAATGTACCAGGAGCTTCCTGATTAAAATAGACATGGAAAAGAAAGTTCTTTCCCATTCTTGATGTGGATGTGATGCCTGGAGCCACGGCAGCCACTGGCACACACAGGAATATGGGAAACTGTTCTTGGCGGGAAGCAATCTGGGTACACATGCAACATCAGGCAGAGAGCAGAAGCCAAAACACCAGTGATGTCGGAATGAAGAGGAGCAAGGCCTGAGCTCAGCTGCTGGATACCCGAGCCTTGCACCCTGGCCTCTGCTGTGCAGGACAGCATGTGCTCTCACCCGGCAAGCCATATTTAATAAGGTGCTTCCTACTCCTGGCGGAAAGGGGCTTGCCTGAGAAGAGTGATAAGCTGGTCCTTCCCCTCAGGCTGAGGCTGGCTGGTGGCTGTCCCGGGGCTGACTACGTCATGAGGCCTCTGTCTGAAGCTGTTTCCTGTCTGTGACATGGAGGGGTCAGGCATGGCCACCTCTTAGGTTGCGCAAGAAGCTTAAATAAGATGATGCATGCAAAATTCTCCCACAGACCCTGGAGCACTGTTGGTGCTTGTTATTAGTTTTGATTGTAGAACCTTATTTGTCACTGGGACATCCTCTGCTGTCTCGAGGAAACTATTTTGTGGGAAAGCATGTGGGTCCTCTTGGCCTCCTCAGATGTTTCTATTTTACAGGAGAGAGACCAAAGCCAAAGCAGTGGCTGCTCTTTAGCTTCTATTTTGAAAAATGTGCATAGCTTGCCCTCGTCCCGTCAGTCATTGCTACTCACACTAGAAACAACAGAAGGACACAGGTTTGGGTTGAAATGATGTGCTTTATGGGAAACAAAAAATATTCAACAACAATAACAAAAGCCCTTCGATCTCGCAAGTTGTTAACCAGTTATCATGAGGCAGTTTCAACAATAGCATCTGGCTGGGGACATTTCTAAAGGGTCAGGAAAGTTGAAAGACATTGGCCATGAGTGAGGATTTGCAGGGAGGCTTGATGTTCTAAATGAGAGCACATCAGGCTTCTAGTTCCTCCACTTTATCATTCTTTCAGCTTTCAGTTTCCTCCCAGTTTACACAGATCTTCCTGATTTCATTCCAGTGCAATCTCTTCCAGAGAGCTTTCCTTGGTCTGCACCAACAACACACAACTTTTTGGTCATGTCACAGAACTCCCTCACACCTTCCCCTGTCACTTTCTGCCTTCCATCGATCATGTTTGGGTACATGCCTTATGATGCCCCCGAGACCCGGGCTCTTGTGGATTTACCCCAGTGTCCCCTCCCCCGTCGGTGCTCAGTATTCAGCAGGTGCTCAGCATCAGCAGGTGCTCAGTGAGGGTTTGCAGAAGTCACTTCTACATCTGCCTGGTCCCATCTCCAGCCCTAGAGAATCACAGTTGTTACTTCTACTCGTTTACCCTCTTCTGTGATCTCAGAATGGTCTAATTTGAGAGTCTGTCAAGAAGGAACAGCTTCCACCAAACATTGCTATCTCAGAGGTGACAGTGTAGGGAGAGGACAGGAAGGTTGTAAGCTTTCATGCCAGTTCTGAAAGGCAAGAACAGCAGCCACTGGCACAGGTCAGGATGACCCTGAGCAATGCTGGCCAGTGACTCCTTTTGGAATCTCGTAAGCAGCCACTCTCTGAAAGCTTCCCCCATGAGACCTAGCCAGCTTCACGTTGGGGATTGGAGGGGGCTCATGGAATATGGTTGTCCTGCCAGCCCAGAAACCATGGTATAGGCCAAGAATTTTCTTTGGGGTGTGGCCTAACCTGAAGCAGAGGTGAGAGTTGTCTATCTGGTTGTTTCGTTGGAGCTGTTGTGGGAACATTAGCCCTGTGGTGTGTAGATCATCAGGCACATAGACTGTAATAAGGCTGAAGCTTACAGGCTGCAGTCATGGGCCTCTCCAAGAGAGGGGGCAGGCCAGAAGGGGGGAAGCAGTGAGGGCAAGGGGAGGTCCTGTAGGTCCTGCAGATCCACCTCTACCAGGTGCTTGGTGTCCCCTCATTCCCAGCTCCTCTCTTCTCTGCTTCTCCAAGTCCAAGCCTGGCAAAGGGGCCAGCTAGAGGTGGTGGAGGGGAGGGAAGTGTCTTTTTTCTTTTTCCTACCACGAATTCTAGATCTGGATATGGGAAAGGTCAGGATCAAGGGTGGAAGGGGGAGAGCTGATGAGCTAAGGAGAGGCCACGGCCCTATCCACTTCCATCTACTGGGTGATGAATGGATTTGAGGCTTATACTTCTAACTGCATCACCCCTTGGGAGCCCTGAGCTCCTGATTGGGGCTGTAGAGAAAATTATTCATGAACCCTCAAAGGTGCTCAGTGACTTGGGCAGAGCGCCGTGCATCTGCCCGTGGAGGCCCCTCTGGGGCCAATAGTGTACAGAAACTGTGTGGTCAGCATCAGGCCTGGAGACCTGGACAAGGGCCAAGAAGCAGAGAGTAGAGACCTCTCCAGGCACCTTTTGAGGGAAAGAGTTGGACCTCGGGGGACTCAAGTCAGGACAGATGTTTCAGTATAAAAAGGACCCCCAGGAAAAGCAGAGTCCCCTCAAATCCCTTCCCAGATCCCACAGCACTTAGAAAAGAGAAGGAGCATAAAAAATACTTTGATGACGTAGGCTTGCCTGACAGTACAGAAAAGCAAGTCTCATGGCAGGCAGTGTATCCTGTTACACAAGAGGATTATACCGCGCTTCAGGATAGAGATTTTACATACATCTTTATATAAATGCATCTATATGTATAGCCTCTGCCTAGAACAGCCGCGCTTGCTTCTTCAGTTCATTCCTTTTCCACAGGGCTAGCCGCTCAAACTCCGAGATGGTCATGCCAAAGACCTGGTAGAATTCTTCCTGGGACAGGTGGCGCTGCAGGAGTTGAGAGAGAGCAGTGTGAGGACAGGGGGCATGGGAGGGGGGCGGGCACAGCAGCAGCCACTGCATATTCCCCAGGAGGTGTGTGATAAATACACACTGAGTGGGTGAATGTGGAAATGAGTTTCCCCAGGGGGACCCTTTGACCCGCTCTGGGTGGGCAGCCCATGGCTTGGGTGGAGCTCTGGCTTTGGCCAAGCACCCATCATACAACTTGGTTGACCTCATCTTTCTGTGTCCCTGTTCCGCGCATTTATGCCCAGCAGTGTATATGGACTATTGCCATTCTGCTCCCTTCTTGGAGAAAAAGGAAGAATATTCAAGACTTGAACGTGTATTTCTTATTAATACTTTAACAAATGATCTAGAATGCTGTTCAGGCCAATGTATTAAATTGGCCTCACACTTCCCAGATCACTGATAAGTCCTTTGAAAACCTTTCTTCCATGATAACAAGCACGCCATATAACCAGACACTGTTCTGCATCCCATGGCAGTCTCTCCCTGCTTTCTGTTTTTTCTCCCTCCTTCGGTCCCTTCTAAGCAGCCTTGAAAATATGTTATACTGTTAAAAGCTTTTCTATTTAGAAATATATGACATCTAAAATGGGGCAAAATATTAACAGTTGGAGCATTTAGGCAGAGGGTAGACAGATGCTCATTTTAATATTCCTGCAACTTTTCTAGAGGCCTGAAATTTTTCAAAATGAAATTTAAAATCAAGCTTGCTTTTTTTTTCTTTTTTGGTGGAACCAGGGATTGAACTCAGGCCCTTGCGCTTGCCAGGGAAGTGCTTATTCCACTGAGCCATCTCCCTGGCCCTAAAATCAAGCCTGTGAAGAGAGGTCCATACATGCTTGAAGGGCAAGGTCTATTTTGTTTACCGAGACCCTGCAGACACCCAGATGAACACATGGCCTGTATAAAATAATGGACTTTTCATGAATATTTTTGGAAGAAAGAACATTTTATTTGAGCTCCTGGAAGTTAGGTTCAGTGTTTTCCTTCTACAGACCACTCCTTGAGCTGGTGCAGGGGCTAGAGCAGTAGCTTAGTGGTCTTAGCTCTACACTTTAGACATTCCTCAGAGCTTTTAAAACATATGAACACAGGTGCTACTCTCCAGATTGTGACTTAGTCTGGGGTTGGGGACCCTGTGCAGAGGAAGCTCTTTGGTTGACTCTGATGCTCGGGAAGGCTGAGCTCCCCTGCCTGGTGCTGCTAGGAGCCTGAGGACTCTGTGCACCCATGACTGGCTCCCAGATGCTGCCCGAGGAGCTGTCCCCTTCAGCACCGGCAGCCCCTCAGTTCCAGACAATGAAAGGAGGCCCTGGTTCATGTGGGAAGGCTCATCCAGGTTCTCAGGCTGCTCACCCAGTGTGCTATGACTGGAAGGATACACAGAGATTCCTGGCCTCTTGCACTCCCCTCTTCATGCCTTTACCTGATTATTTGGCAGAAGGTCTAGGGAGCTCAAAGTCTGTCCAAGGATTACCATGCCTTCTCTTGGAGAAGTCTGTACTCAATTTCACAAACATGAAATCGGTTGGCCCTTCTCCCAGCCAGGACCCTGTGGTAGAGGACAGCCCTGTCCTTAGGGATATCAGGGTCAGGCTGAGAAAATGAAACTGTCAGTGATCTGATACAAAGGAGACCCGTAACCTGGGCACAGGCTCGGGGAAGCTGAAGGGACAGGAACAGGATCCTGCCTAAGGAGCTGGCTGAGGGCACTGGGATCACTAATGTGGGTCCTGGGGCATGAGAAGGCTCACAGGAAGGGGATGGGAAGATGATGAGGGGCAGGGAGAGGGCATATCAGGGAAAGCGATGACATGAGCCAGGGCAGAGGAGGCCAGGGGCTGGTACTTCTATGCCCTAACTGCAGGGCTTGAATGCCTGGCCCACACCCAGCCACTCTTCACATTTACCTATACAGTTTCCACCACTCACGCCTCTCCCCTCCTTCTCTCTATCTGGGTCCATCCAGATCTTTCCTCTTCCTGTAGTCTTGTGTCAGGCATCCCAAGCCTTAGGGTTCTTTTCAGAATGGAACCATTTAACATCTATTAAGTACTTACTACTCAATCCATTGCCAGCCTCTGTGCTGAAGCCTTGATGTACAACATTCATTCATATTTTTGGGCAACTTTGGGGGAGCACAATACCCTCACTGAATGAGGAGAAAAAAAGGCATGGAGAGACCATCACTGGGCCAACTAAAGCTGCCCACCTTGCGATGGCAGAGGACAGTGTGAATCTCAGGAATGTGGTTTGGGACTTCTTTATGCTTTTACCTTCTAGGAAGTGCTACCTCTTCTGTCTCCCTCACCACAGGCACCAGCTTTATGCACAACCTGGAGACTGCAGGCTCTGTGAGGGCAGGAACCAAATCTAGCACTCTCCTATATCTGCAGAACATCACCCCACTGGGGACATGTTGTGGTTGCACACCCCAGGTGCTGACAGGGTGACAAAGAGGCCCCATAAAGCAGTGGGAACCTGTCTTGGGCAGTGAAAACTGGTTCAAGGCTCAACAAGCTGTGGAAAGTCAGTGTCTGATGGATTAGGGAACATTGGGATCCTTGCCAACGCAAAGGCTCCTGCTCAGCTTTCTAGACTTACTTCTAAGCGGGTCCGGTCTACATCCTTGGGCAGTTGGTTTCTTCCTCTTGTGGTCACCAGCAGCAGTTCATAAGGGTAGATCTAGGAAAAAAGGGGATGTGGGAGGCATGTTTCCAGCTTGGGTGAGAAAGATGGACTTGTCTCTTTCAGCTGTAGTTTGTATTTGGGTTCCTTCCTCTATGCAGAAAGGGACAGAAGTTAGGTTTAGAGGAAGGCTGGATCTGCCTATTTGGGTTACCCAGAAGCCTTAAGGCACCTTCTCCCCAAAGGCAAGTCCCCACAAAGTCCCCTTATACTCCCAAAGTGAGGCTTGATGGCATTTAGCATGAATCTGGACCCAAGGCCTCCTGCATGTGCATGTCTCCTAATTGGTGATAGCAAGCCACCAGAGTCCTCAAGAAACTTGGCCTGATCTCTTAGGCAGGAGACCTTGGCAGGATTCAGGGAAAGTGGCCCAAGGAGGGCCAGGAAATGACAGTGGTGAAAGAACTTGCAGGTTATTCCTCTCTATTCCCTTTCCTGCATAGATGGTGGTGTCATCCTCTTGCTGGTCCCCAGTGTAGTGGCTCCCAGCATCCGGGTTGCCCCCAGGGTCTATGTGTCCTTTACCTTGTACTCTGTAGAAAGAAAAGAGACATGAGAAGAGTAGAGCCCATCAGTTCCGACTTCTCATCACCACCCTGGCTGCTGCCTTAGCCTCCCCAGAACTCTGGCTTCCATGTGTCTCCTGGCCATGATCATGCAGGGACCCTGTCCTGGCTGAATTCACTGCAGAGAACAGTCACAGCTCTGTGAGAATGCTGAATGGCTGGGGGTAGGGTTTAATCTTGAGCTGGTTTTAAAGGAGAAATAAGTTTTGAGATATTCAGAATCAAAATAAAAGGATCTGAGCTCATGAAGTACATGGACATGAACTTCCATCTTCCAGAGGGAAACCACCACAGCTTTGACGTGGGCTCCCTCCTCCCTGTGCCTACCCAGAGGAGCAGTGGGGGCTAGCGTGAGAACATTCCTGGCAGAGAGCACGCAGGTCATGGAATTTTTTTTTTTCTGGGAACAATGTCCACTTGGCTCTGAATGCTTCCCTTCACCGGGGCTGGCAGGCAGTTCCAGCTTAGCAGTTCAGGGACCTCGGCCTCTGCAATGGCTCTGGGAGCCCAGATGGGACAGATGGCCTGGAGATCACCCAAGGCCGGGGACTTGGGAGGAAGAGCAGGGGGAAAAGAGGGAATGGAAGTAGAAGGGAGTGAGACTTGGGGGTTGGACAGAGCCCAGCATGGAGATGGACTCTAGAGCAGTTATTTGCCAGAGGTCAAGCAACAGTTATGAACAGAACATCCGGAGTCCCTGGGAAGTCCCGAAGGAGGCACCCCCTGAGACCCCAGCCAGGCTCTCGCTCACCTCGCATGCCCCAGTTGACTGCGTTCATGCTGTCATAGTGGAAGAGGTCTGCGCTGGGGGTCTGCAGAGAAGACAGAGCCGGGGTGGTCTGAGACAAGCTCGCCTCTGCTTCTCTAAAGCATTCACTCATCTCCAGACAGAATGTGGACCAGGGCTGCTGGGGTCAGGGCCCTCTGAGCAGCCTCAGTCTCAGCTTAGGGAAATCTAGCTCATTGCTGCATTCCTGTGCCTGGGCCTAGCGCATAGCAGGCACTTAATCCTTACCCATTTATTCTGTGAGTTTACTCTCCTGCTGGAGTCTACTGCCAGCGCCTTGTTTTATGGGCTCTCTGGGGACAGCACATTGCCTTCTCCACAAACTCAGTCCTCCTTTACCTGCAAGTCTTGTTTTATTTTTTCCGCACAGCACTACCTTCTAGCATTGGATGTTCCCCTTATTTATTACATACTGTTTCCTCCTACAAAAAGGTGAGCTCAGCGGGGCAATGAACTTCGCTGATTTCGGTCACTGATGTACTTTAAGTCCCCACAGTAGTACCTGACATACAGAAGAAGCTCTCAATAAACACCTGTCTAGTGAAGGAATGCTGGCTTCTGAGTGCAGCGACAGCACCCTCAGCATGCAGGGGTCGCTAACACCAGCCACTGTTCCACAGCAGGGGACCTCACGGTTCGCCCTAAGATAGTCTCCTAGTGAATCTATAGCTTCCATTTCTTCCTGGCTGCAGTATCTATTCCACACACCTGCTGGAGGGAGTCCATTAAAACTGGATCACACAGCTCATTTACCGAAAACTCTCTGAAGTCCTCAAACACAGTGCAAGGCCCTAAGGACTTTCCCGCTGGCTTCAATCTCTTCCTCTTGCCTCTGGTATGTGCCTCAGGCTTGTTGCACCCTCTCTGCCTGGGGACATAAATGTTTCCATTCCCTGCATCCAGATGGCTCTTGCTGTTCTTCAAGTGGTAAGGGTCTCTTTTCATTTTTAGAACTTTTAAAAAATCCACCCCTCTCTGGCCACCTTTTTCTGGCCCTTGCTTTGTTTTCCATCCTAGTGCTTCTGATGACCTGACTTTATATCACACATTTCCTTGCTTCCTGTCCATCTCCCACTAGCACCAACTTCGTTCACAGCAGGCTTCCAGCACCTGCAGCCATGCCCGGCACTTAGTAGGTGGCCAATCAGTTAACACCTACTTCAATGTTTCTGGCCTATGCCCTCTCACTGTCCACTCCTATGGCCTCTCTCCTACTGCTAGCAAGACATGTTTTCATTCCTTTTCAGCCTGTAAGCCAGCTCACTGCTTCCACAAAGGCTTTATGTCATAGGCTACCCAAGGGCGCAGCAGGCTATATGCCATGCTAGAGGCCATTGGTGCTTGGCTGCCAGGGATGGCCGTAAGGTCAGTTGGCCTTGGTGTGAATCCTGGCCCCACTGTGTACTGGGTGTGGCAGCATGAACATGCTCTCTCGTCTCTCCATGCCCCATTCTCCTGTCTACACAGTAGGGTTGCTAATGCCAACCACCTCCTCTGGGTTGTGAGGGGCACACAAGTCAATGCTTGTAAAGCTCAGTATCTGACACAGAGCTCTTTCCCAGTAAGTACTAGTTTTCCCTAGCCCAGCCCTTGGCCCTCTTCATGTTGGTCACATAAGGGAGGGAAACAAGTCCTTGCCACCCTGGGGACTTTCCTTCATTTTCATCAGAGCAGTGAGCTGATGCTGGACCCACTAGCCCTTTGGGGCAGTGTCCCCCCCATGGCTTCTCTTACCCTGTGCAGCCCATTTCTTCTGTAGGCAGGCAGGGAGGCAGATTTGGAGATGAGGGGATCTGAAAAGCAGAAGTCAGACTGTTAGTAGGAGCCCCAAGCTAGGGGGTGCTGTCCTTGGGGTCACCTGTCTACAAATGGCTGATGTAACTCCCAACCCAGTAAGAAGGGGCCGGAGCCAGAGGCCACCAGTTCTTCCTGATGCCCCTGCACCTGCCGCTTGACCATCTGGGCATAACTGGCAGGATTCAGGGCCCTCAGAGGTGCACACACTCTTCTGCCCTTCACCGACACACATCTTTCCTATGCGGGTCACGGCATGGCTCTCGATAAAGGCTCTGGGATTGGAGTCAAGCTCAGAACCAGACTCGGGGCTCCCAGGTGGGTGGAAGAGGCACGTGCTTGTTCCTTCTCTTCAGCGGCTATTGGACATGGCCTCCCTGGCTCTAGGAGGGGAGGCCACAATCTGACAACTCCAGCGGGGTGGACTATCTGAGGGCAGGACTGTGCTGAGACAGCTACATGCACAGCCATCAGAGATTCAGGGAGCTGGGGCTGACTCGACTCCGCCCTCCCAGGGTGAGACAGGTGGAAGGCGGGGCAGGCAGGACGTACCGCTGTCAGCCAGGTAGTGCGAACGAGGGGCTGCAAGAGAGCAGAGCCAAACATCAGTGGTCACGGGACAGAAAGATATAGGGAAAGACCTGGCCTGCCTGGCTGAGGGGCAGAGTGGCCCGTTTCAGTGCCAGGCAGTTTCCAGTTGTCACAGCTGCATTTCATCCTCCCTCTTGCACCCCATTTCCATCCAAGCACCTGGCGCAGAGCAGGTCTCTGGGATATTTGTTGGGCAAGTGCAGCTGAGCAGAAGTGACTTTTGAGCAGTCTTGGTGCACTGCACCCGTGCAACCAGGGGCTGGAGAAACTGTCCCCAGGGTCAGACAGGGAAACAGGCCATCAGTCACCCCACCTTCGTCATTAGTAGAGGCCTAACTGCAGACAAGTTACTTAATTGGGCTTCTGCTTTCTCATCTGTAAAATGGGGTTGGTAGTGTTTCCTTTAGAGGTCTTTTGTGAAGAACATATGACAAAGTACAAGATGGTAGCACACTGCGTGACATATAACGCTCATCATACTATGTCCATGTCTTCAGTCTCATCGGGATCAAGGGTGAGACTAAGTGAGGAGGGAAAAGCTCACAGTCTTAGGTCACTGTAACTTGGGTCTGATCCTGGCTCAGTCACTTAGTAGCTTCCCCAACTCCGGAAGTGATTAATTTCAGTTCTCTTGTCTGTAAAGTGTGTGATAATAATCTCCCTACATAGTCAGGATCCGTGAGGATCAGGCATGATAATTACTGGCACCAAAGAATGCAATAAATGACAGCTTTACCATCCATCAAACATGTATGTAGGATGGGCATGGTGGCACACACCGGTAATCCCAGCACTTGGGAGGCTGCGGCAAGAGGATCTCTGTGAGCTTGAGGTGAGTCTGGGCTACAAAATGAGTTCAAGGCCAGCCTGAACTGCACAGCAAAACTTGGTCTCAAAAAGAAAAATAAAAGGGCCAGCCAAATAGCTCAGTGGATTAAAGCACCTGCAAGCAGGCACAGGGTCCGGGGGTTTGATCTCCAGGCCTTCTGTGCTGGCCCTGCCCCTGGGGCACGTTGAGATGGCAATTGAGACTGGGAGTGGTGGCGCGCAACTGTAATCCCAGCTCTTGGGAGGCTGTAAACAGATGGATCACTATGAGTCTGATCTAGTAGTGAGACCCTGGATACCCTGTAGACCCTTCTATAAGTTACCAAAAAAAAAAAGAAAGAAAGAAAAGAAAAGAAAAGAAAAGAAAAGAAAAGAAAAGAAAAGAAAAGAAAAGAAAAGAAAGCACTGATGTGAGATGAGATTTCCTGGCAGAACTGAGCCCCACAGAAATTTTAAAAAATGGAGGAGGCAGAAAAGTATGCAGTATAAGATTTGCTTTTGTTTTACACCGAGCCTGACTGGAAGGCACAGTTTAGGGAGGCCCAGAGAAGAGTTCAGGGTGGAGTATGGTCTCACTTGTCTCATCCAGCCCCTTACCAAGCTCGTATTCCAGACCCAAGAGAGGCTCCCAAAGAGTGCCAGTGGCGGAGGGTGGTGTGTGGGCCTCGGTTAGCCTCTGTGGCATGCCTCTCCTGGTCCCTTTTTTACACTATGGGATTGCATTTCTGGGGCGTTCTGTGCTCTAACAAGACTTTTGGGAAGGAGGAAGGCCACCATTTATAGGCCCAGTGATGCCGGGCAAGTTCCCAGAGGCTTCTGATCTTAGTTTGTTCCCCATCTGTAGTAAGTGAGGGATTGTGGTGGTTAGGACAGAAGATCAGTCAACTTGACTGGCTTTGGTATTCATGCTCTGAATTGAGATATTTCTTCTGGTATGTCTGGGTGGCTCCTGGTGGCACTGTATATGGGTGCTATATGTCGTTCCCAGATCACTTCCTGGCGGTGCTGTTCCCCTGCTCTGTTTCCCAGCTTCCATGAAGGAGGCATCTTTGCTCTACCATGATCTTCTAATCGCAGACCATAGACCAGTTATGAGGAACCTTTTAGAGCTTTCAGTGATAACAAACATCTGGCTGCAACACATGTGCTGTAGCTTTGCCACCACTGCATAGACTGAATTCTCCGAAGCATGAGCTAAATTAAACTCCTGTGAGTGGTGGCTCAGCAGCTGGAAACCTGATCTATTCAGGGATCCACTGCCTGGGGCTTTGGGGAAGAAGTAGAGGATGTGTAGGCTGTGCCTCCCAAATGCCTGGCTCAAAGTGTGCAGCTAAAGTTGTTGGCACGTGAAACGGCGCTTACAGCCATTGAGGGACATATCATAGCCTGCTGTGTGCAGTGCCTCGCGGCTACTGGTGGAGCTCCGGGGAGGGGTCCAGGGATCCACGTAGGAGCTTGACCGGGCTTTCATCTCCTCCTTCAGAATCAACCGGCCAATTCCACTCTGAAGCTGCAGGTAGAAAGGAGCGAGATGAAGTTAATAGGAAGTGAATGACCTCAGATGGGACAGGCTAGGGAGAGGCTGAGCGATGGATGCTTTCTAGGCAGCCTCTGTCCTGTTTGCCTCAGACCCCGCCTCCTTGTGGTACTTCTGCTTTCCTGAGGGCCTGCATCTTCCTTCTGCAAAGGTCCTAAGGTCTGTGAGGCTCTGGAGGTGGCACGAGGAAGCGGGACTGGACAGTGACAGAATCACATTACCGTGGCCACAGTGATTGGTTTAATGACAAGCAGACTTAAAAAAACTGAGGTGAAAATCATATAATGTAAAATCAGTACAATCCTGTCACAGAATTGATAGGGGATTGACTGTGTATTCCCTCACTCTTGGATACCAAGCTCTGTAGAGCCTCATATCTCTTACATAAAATGGAGTAGTATCCATAACTCCCCTATGCGCATCCTCCCGTATGCTGTAAATCATCTCTCGGTGACTCAAACAATACAGCGGAAATGCTACGTAATAGTTTTTATGTGGTACTACTTAGGGAGTAATGAGAAATAGTCTGTGCCTGGTCACTACAGACAATTTTTAAAAACTATTTCCTATCTGCAGCTGGTAAATCCATAAAGTGGAATCTGCAGATACGGAGAGCTGGCTGTGAGCGATTCAGGGGCACTCAGTAAATTCACAAGGCTATGCCAGTGCCACCTCAGTCTTTCCATAGCATCCTTATTCCCCCAGGGAAGGCTCTGCAGCTATTAAACAATCACTCTCCATCCCCCTCCTTCCCCAGACCCTCTTACACATCAGCTTCTGTTATGTCTCCATAGATTTGCCTATTTGGATATTTTATATAAATATAAGTGGGAACATATGATATATGGAATTTTGTGTTTTTTTTTTTTTTCCACTAGGATTGCATTCGGGATTCATACACATTGAGACATGCATCACTACTTCTCCTTTTTTTTTTTTTTTTTGGCTGAGTAATGTTCTATTGCACAAATATGCCATGTTTGTGAGCTGATGGACATTTGGGTTTGTTATGGCTTATGTCTAGACATCCCCGAAAGCCTCATGCAGTCATAGGAGGGACTTTTTCAGAGGTGGCTGCATTTAGAGGGTGTGATGCTAGGATTGATTCATGTGCAATGCTAGGCCCAAGGGCACTACAATTAAGGGTGTGAGTGCTACCTGCCTAAGTAGCCTGGACGAGCTATAAGAGATAGAAAGAGCAGTGGGCAGCTCGTATTGCCTTGCTGCCTTCTGCCCACCATGAACTATTTCTTCCTCTGCAGTGCCTATCTGCCGTGCCACCCGCCTTGGAGCCAGCCACTTATGGGCGGAAACCGCTACAAATCATGAGCTAAGTAAACTTGTCCTCCTTTAACTTTGGGTATTAGGTATTTTGCCCCAACAATGAGAAAAATAACTAAGACGGGGTTGTTATTACCTTTTGACTGTCATAGCTAGAGCTGCTATGAATATGTTTGAGTCCAGGCTTTTAATTCTTTTGGGTATATCCCTAGACATGGAATTGCAAGGTCTCATGGTAATTCTATGTTTAACTCTTTGAGGAACTGTTTCCACAATGGCAGGACCAAATTACATTCTCAGGGGCAATGGGGAGGGGGCAGCCACTGCCTACTACATGATAAGTACCTGTCTGAATATGAAGCCAGCAGAGGTAAGCCCCACAAGGGAAGGTACTTACTACATGTAACACCCTGGGACATGTTTTGGGGGGAGCAGCTAGATCTAGCAATATCTGATGCTAATCTTACCATTTAAATTTTCAGTTCTACAAAGTTATGCTGTTCTTTTCTTTATTAAGTAAATTTGAATTTGTTTTTTGAGACTTGTAAATGAAAAAACACCTCTAAGCTCCAGACTGAGTGATGTGGTCTGCTCACCTTGTGCATGCTGCGGTCAAAGTCGTCTTCCTCTCCTCCCGATGAGAACCTTCTGGCTCGGGGCACTGCCAAAGGACCGTGGGATAAGCTCCAGCATGTTCTCCCCACTCATGCTGCCCTGGGTGAAGCCACTGGGCCGACCTTCTTTCCTTTCCCTTTCTCTTTCCTTTCCTTTCCTCCCCTCCCACCCCTTCCACTCCTCTCTCCTCTCCCCTCCCCGTGCCCCTCCCTCCTCCCCTCCCTCTCTCCTCCCCTTCCCTCTCCTTTCCTCTTTCTCTTCCCTCTCCATCCCTCCTTTCCTTCCTCCTAATAATCTCATCCAAGATGCATTCTGGAAGTAGTTCTATGTTTGATCTCTCTGAACATTTACCTCCCATGAGTGCTGGTCCCTGCTCACATTGGGTTAAAGTTCTTTCTCTGCATTATTTCCTTTTCTAAGTGGAGAATTGTCTGAGGATGATGAAGGGGTCATCATGGATGCTGAATGTCCATGAAGCTTTGCTTAGACTAGACATTCAATTAGTAAAGCTAAGTGTTGAATGAAATTGGATCTTGAAGGCCCCCACCCTCATCCCCAGCCAAACATGAAAGATTAGCTTGGCTGTCTGACTGGGTGGGCTGGTCCCAAGGATGAGGGTGCCTACTTATCAGAGTCTTCCATCTCCCACATTTTCTCTTTTTCCATTCCTCACATCATTTTTCACCCTATAGCCAAAGTGGCCTCTCAAAAGCATAATTGTAATCATGTCACTACTTCCAATAGTTCTCCACTGTGTAGGATGATAATCAAAATCTTTACTTCACCTCGATCATCCCTCCACTTGTTCCTGTCCCTCTCCAGGCTCAAGCTTAAGCAGAGAGCTGTTCCTTTTCTCCAGTGAACCTGCCTTCCCAGCCTGGGTCTTTGCTGATGTATTTGAGGGAATGTCTCTATGCACCACCCCCACTGACCTCCTTGAGCCCTTCCTATGGCAACTGAGTCACTGCATCTGAGAAGCGTTTGCTATCTTCTGGATGGACTGCATTCCCCAGACATCAACTCTTCCGCCCCTTGGGTATTATTTTCCCTTTTCAGCTGGGACCTATGTCTGCTTCACAAGGGCAGGAACCTGGTCTAATTTACTACCCAGTGTAACCCTAGAGCCCATGGCTGGCCCTTAATACCCACTGTTGAGTGAATAAAAATCCTCAGTATAGCCTTTTTTTTTTTTTTTTTTTTTTTTTTTTTTTTTTTTTGTGGAACCGGGGATTGAACTCAGGCCCTTGTGCTTGCCAGGCAAGCGCTTATTCTACTGAGTCATCTCCCTGGCCCCAGTATCGCCTTTTAATGAAGAATTCTTGTTCAGAATGATTGTATGAAGGAATGGGTGACTGTCCTGGCCTCCCTAGTTCCTGGCACAGGAACCAGGGCCCCGGCCCCAGGGACCTATGGGGATGCTACCTTTGGGAGACCCATGATAGGTCCAGTACTCAGACTCCGCAGCATAGTAGGGGTCTGGCGAGTAGGCTGGACTGTACTTGGAGGCCTGGCTGATGTCTTCACTTGTTTTGCTCTTGGTTGCTGTTGACAAATCACCTGCAAAGAACCCAAGGAGAGCGCTTCAGGAGAGCAGTATGCCTGGTTGGAAAGCACACCCTTGTCCCTGCCAGGCTCAGTTCAAGGGTGACCAGTCACTTCAGGGTCAGGGATCTTGGGAGGAAGGTCTGGGACATGGAACATTGGTGCTGGAAAAACCCTGGGCCAATCTCTTATTTTATATCAGGGATCTGAAGGCCAGACAGGGGAAGGGGTTTGTTCGAGACCACACCCAAAGTTTGCCTCAGAACTGGCTCAAACCCGAGCTAAGGGTCCTTTCAACACATTCCACCTACTCCTCCTCTGTCTGTTCCTTAGTGAACACTGAAGCTGTATCCATAATAGAAAAGCAGCAGTTCCAGGTGACCTCAGTCCATTCCTTCCTGGCCTTTTAATTTTTATTTATTTATTTATTTATTTAGTGTGTGGCTAGCTCAGCCCACCAGGGGGCGGGGCTGGCTGGCATGTGGTGCTGGGGGATTGAACCGCGGTCCCTGTGCTTTGCTTGGCTTAGCTTGTTCTAAGTAGGTGCTTTAGACCACTGAGCCATCTCACCAGCCCCCTTTTAATTTTTTAAATTAAATCTTTTATTTATGTAGTACAGGGTCTAGGTATGCAGCTCGGACTCATAGTGATCCTCTTGTTTCAGCCTCCCCAGCGCTGGGATTACAGGTGTGTGCCATCACACCAGGTGTTGGTGGCTGGCATGGTGCACCTGGGGTTCCAGGGTTAGTGTGGCATGCAGTCAGTACTGGGGATTGAACCTGGGTCCTTGCCAGGCAGGTGTTTAGATCACCGATCTATCTCCTCAGCCCCCTTCCTGGTACATTAGAAGCCTGCCTTATTATGAATTTGAACCACATCTAGCAGGGAGCTGCTGGGCAAGGCCTGGGTCCATGTAAGGTAAGTCTGCCTTCTCCTTATGCCCAGAAATGTCACCACTTCACTGGGGGCTAAGTGGCCCCAAAGAGGGAGTGTGGGACAGCAAGTCAGCAAAGTTGTGCTCTGTTTCCAGGTCTGCCACTTAACTCACTAGGAACACCCCTGCCCATCTCTGCCTCAGAGAGACAGAGACAGAGACAGAGAGACAGAGACAGAGAGAGGCAGACAGGGACAGAGACAGAGACAGACACACATACACACACAGAGACAGAGAGAGACAGCAAGAGAACAAAAAGTAGTATGACACTGCAATAATCTGGAAGGGAACTACTGAGAAATGTTAGGGATGAGCTCCATATTCCATGGAGCTGGAGCAGAAGAGCTTAATGCCTTCAGCCAGCAGGGCCTTCGTACCCTTCCCTAGCAGCACTTGTGGCCAGTGTGTGTGAGCCCTCCTTTGATTGGCTCTTGCACAGCCCCTCCTGTCAGCTGCCCTTTGCCCTCTGATCCATGCAGCCACCTCCACCATGGAGCCCTGAGTCTGCTATGGTGCTGTCCTTCAGGGCCCAGTGCGAGACTCCATGAAGCCTTGAAAAGCTTGGAGCATGGGGGCATTTCAGGATGCGAAACCAAACCAAATGTGGTCAGGGTTGGTGCCTTCCCCTGGCTCCGTGGGGGCATGCAGCACATCTTCCACAGCAGTGCGTACTCATGCACATGCTCCCAGACTCAGGGGTTCACTCAGTCCCTGATTGGCTCCCCTGGAGACCAAGGATGTCTCTGCAAATTTCAGGGACTTGAGCACCAGAACCATTATTTACACTTGCGCTGCCCCACACATCAGCTGGCACAGGACTGCTTGGTCCACCTCCAAGCTTATCCAAGTCTTTGGTTGCCTCTTATCCAACTAGGCCAGTGAGTAAGTGAGGGTGCTCAGGATGGCAGCTGTTCCCCTGCATCTGCCAAGGGAGGCCTGTGCTTATTCAACTGAAGCACAGGAAAGGCTTTTGCAAAAGTGAGCAGGAGGTCCCAGTAGTGATGAAGGGGTTTGTGTTTCTAATACTGCCTGTAGGCGGGGATTATGGACAAAACCAGTTCGTACAGATCCTGGGCCAGACTCTGAGTGACTCTAATTAACAGCATCTGGGACTTGGAAGAGGGTAAGGAATATTTCTTTTTAATAAGTCTCTAAGGAGCAGATGGTCTCTCAAGAGACTGTGACTGCAAATACCTTAGCCCAGTAGTTCCCAGGCTGGGCTGGGTATCAGAATCATGGATGAAAACTGTCAAAAATACATTCCAATTCAGTCAGTTTAGGATGGGATCTAGGCATGCATATACACCCCATATAATTATAATAAATATTTTTGGGTATCATTGTCTTGGACGTATCATTCTCCCAGGCTATGTGTGTTTTATAAGAATTACTCTGCTTGTGAGTTGTAGGACACCAGACAGTAGGACCAAGTTGTGGCTTTGCATTGGGCTGCTTGGTGTGGCCTTGCAGAGTCAGCTGCAGCCAGTTAATGTCCCCCTTTCCTTTTCTGGCCAAGCCCTGTCTGCCTCTGACCGTACCATGCCGTTTGTAGATCGGGGGTTTCCGGTAGATGTTACTTTCTCCAGCTGCCAGACAGATGAGGAAGGGACAGTGGGGAGGAGAGAGAAAGACAGGAGAGAAGGAGACGGTACTTGGTCAGTTGGTCTCTGAAAAGAGAGAGTGTCAGCAACTTTACCCAAAGGGCCACCATCTTTCTCCAGATTTGAACCTCCAATCTCATCCCAGCAGGTTCCAGGTAAATGGGGGGAGGAGTGGATGGGTACAAATGGTGCCAAAGAAGAGACGTGGGGCTAAATGGTGGGCATGCAGGGCAGGCAGGGAGCATGCTCAGCAGGTCCCATGCAGGAAGGTATCCACTATTCCTCCCGGTGGCCATGCCTTCTTCCATGTGAGAGTCCCCAGAATGCTGTAGCCACATTTCACATTGTCTCCCCCCTCTGTGCAAGAACCACACAGGATGGGACCCCTCTGGGGCAGCTGAGAAAAGTAGAGATGAAACAGCTGGCAGAGCTCTTATGGGGAGAGTGAGTGGGGAGTGAGAAGCCGAGCCCAGAGCTGGGAGGTAGGGTGTGGCTGGCTCTGCTGTAACTCGGGCTGAGACCTTGTCCTGTGAGGCCACACATGCAAGCCAGCCAGCCCCCGGCTCCTTCCCATCCGCATCATGTCCTCCAGTCACGCCGGCTTTGCACAGGCTGTTGCCCTGCCTGGGCTGCTTTTCCCTGGTACCTCATGCACGGATTCCTTCTCTTCCTTCAGCTTGAACATTGTCTCCTCTAAGCAGCCCTTTCTGACCACTTTGCCTAGCCCTGCCTCAGTCACCCTCATGATGCCCTGGCTTTTTAAAAGTATGTGTATAGCATTTATCATCTTCTGAGATTGTCCTTCCATTTTTGGGGGAGGTTATTTTATATATTAGAATATATATTCCATCAAGGCAGGATCCAGGCTGCAGTGAACCCTGTTGCAATCTCAGGGCCTACTTGCAGGATGGCAGAGGCTGAGGGGGAGCCGGATTGGGAGTCAGTCCCCAAAGCTCTGATGCTAGCAGCCTTTACCACTGGTTCATTGCTGGTCTTCCACGCTTGGGGATTTCACACTGTCTGTCTGTGTGTGGCTTCCTTGAGGTTCTGATCAAGGTTGGTTCAATCAGGGAGACTAAAGCCTGTGGGCATGTTGGGATTTGGGGTGGCTGGAGTCATGATGGTTAGGAGGGCCCCAAGAACCAGCTCCTCCCCAGTGCCTGTGTAGCACCGCCTGGGAGGTCAGGTGCCCAGCACCCCCCGGAGCATGCACCATGCTGGGAAGCCAGGCTGCAGCGCCTACCTGGGATGTGAAAGTGCTTGGGAGCCTGGTAAGAGGTCGGAGTGGAGGACCTCACATCTAACTGGCTATGGTATGGAGAGCTCCGGCCACTCTCGGGCCCTGGAGCACCGAGGTATTGGTCCCCAGAGAGAACAGAGGCACAGAGAAAACAAGCATTAATGCAGTGGCAGTTAAGGGAGCGGTGAGGTGATGACAGCAAGGATGGGGGCTAGGCATCCCAGCGTGCTCAGCTCTAGTGAAGAAGCATGTGCTTGCATGCGCTGCATCTGCAGGACAGGCTTCACCTGTCTCCTTGCTTGACCTCACATCAGAGCTAATGGGTCATAAGAGTCAACTGTGCTGGGCTTCAGTCAGGCGCCTTCCGCGTCTGCTTCGCTCCCCAGCTCCTGGATGGGCTCTGCCCATAACTGCCCCTTTCTCCCTCCAGGACCTGATTTGACCCATCCCAGGTTGATTGGACTGTCTGGGAAGGGGTGGACCTTTGGGTGAAGGCCATTTAGCCAGGCACTTAGCCTGGCTGTCCTGTGTGGATGAGGCAGGCCCAAGCATGAAGACAGAGTCTTCTTCCAGCCAGGGATGTCAGGCTGCCTGCCTCATCCTTCTCCTGGCAGCACCCACATCCCTCTTGTCTTTTTGCCCCTTCTAGGAACATCTCAGAGATCCAGTCAGGCCCAGACAGACAGGCGAAGGGTCACAGGTCTTCAGAAGGCCATCCTGTCATGGAGATCCTGGGGGGGCCTGTGCTATCTCTGCACCCCAGGGACACCAAGTTGCTGCAATGTCCCTGAGGCTCCCATGGGGGCTTTGCCTTCCTTACCTGAGCGGTAGTAGTGGTGAGGTGAGCGGGAAAAGGTGGGAGACATGCCCTGCCGGTAGGTGGGAGAGTCAATGTATCCCGGGCTGGAAGCCCGTCTCTGTCGGAGGTCCAGGTTCTCATAGATGTCCTGCAGGAGGAGGGGTGTGTGTGAGCTGACTGTGCCATGGCTGCAGGCAGTGGGGACACAGCATGGAACGGGGGATTCTAGAGGCTGGGGCATGAATACAGAGGTCCCTTTTCTGAGTTACACACATAGCCTGAGAGGGTGGCAGAGAGATTTTAGGACTGTCACGTATCACTTGAAGTCCGTGGATGGAACCCATGGGTCAGTCCCTGGAGTCCTGACCAGGGATCACAGGAACTCGAGGAAGCCCATCTCTGGTAGAATGGCACCTTAGGTACTCTGGCAACCATTGCCACCCATGAGGTTGTTGCCCTAGCTGGGGCCAGCACTTCAAGCCAGGGATCAAGCCTCTGGGGATGTTAGGGAGGGGTGAGATCAGGACCTTTCTTGGTGAGCATAGAGGGACACAAGGACTCAAAGGTCTCCCTAAGCTTTGTATATACCAGCTGAATTACCTGTGAGTAGGGAGATAATGTTCCCAGCGACTTAGAAGTGAAGAGTTTGGAGTCAACCATGGAGTGAGCACAGGGAGAGAGGAAGATAAGAGGAAGGGACAGGATAAGGTTAGATGGTTTTGCACAGAGGGCCTGCAGCTGCCCCATGGTATCCCTATCCAGATAATGCCTCCCTCAGCACTCCAGAATGTCAGAACTGTGGATAAGAAGCAGAGTACTTTAATACTGTGTTCCCTTTGTATACCTGGAAAAACCAAGGCCCAGGGACATATTAGGGCCTGGGCCACATGGGGGCTAGGGCCGCAGGGGCTTCTCAGGGAAGAGACGGTTGATATTGGCTTGGACTCAGGTTTTTCTACCAGAAGTTCTGAGCTACTTCTGCAGTCCTCCTATCTCTTTCCTGTTCACTATCCTTCTGTGGCCATGAGCAGTGCCCAGAGAAAAGCACCAAGGGCCAAGCTGTTGCCATCGACAAGGGAGTGGAGCTGGTGGGTGGCATGCAAACTGGAGGTTGTGTGACCCAACTAGACAGGGCGGCTGCCACTGGGCCTTAGAAGGTCATGCCAAGTGCCTAGCACTGACCAGCTTCTTAATTTCCCAGGCAAGTCAGAAATGCAAATTCTCAAGTGAAATTTCCCAAGATTTATATGATAACAACTAATTCACATTTCTGAAAGACACTGTGAGTGAATCAAAACATCTGGGGGCTGGCTGTGGCCCACAGACCCTGGCTGGCCATTTCAAACTTCAGAGAACAGGCTTCTACAGACACTTGGTCCCTTTTGTCCTGGTCCGTGGCAGGGATCACAGCTTAGAGAACCTCAGCATGAGGCTATCTAACCAAATGGAGGGGCCGGGGAGATGGCTCAGTAGAATAAGTGCTTCCCTAGCAAGCACAAGGGCCTGAGTTCAATCCCTGGTTCCACAAAAAAAAGAAAAAAAAAATCTAACCAAATGGAGAACCAATCCATTCAGAGACAGATGAGGTGTCTGAGGACACAGCTAGTCAGTGGTGGCTCTGGGACAGAAGCCTAAAATCCTGCCTACAGGGCCAGAGTTCCTTCTCCAATTATTGCAACTCAGGGGTCTTAGGATGTGGCTGGAAATCTCCTGGGATATAGAGAGCCAGGATCTCTCAATGTGATGGCCACCACACCTTCTCTAGAGAACTTTCTAGCAACGATGCACTGACTTCTAAAGCCATTTGATGAACCTTTAAATGAATCTCTTGCTTAGACCGCAGGGGCTTATGGTCAGGTACAAAACTGAGAGAACATGCTCACCCAGTGATTATGAGCTTCAGTGGGCACTGAGCCTGGCTGGGGGTGAGAGCCATGGCTGAGTAGAAGTAAAATTCCTTTGTAATGAGAAAAATAAGAGCTCACATGGTAAATGCTTCCAGACCTTTAGCTTCCACGCTATTGGGTTTAACAGGAGTATGTGGGCTGGGGAGTCCTGTTTATAGGGAGTGCTGCTACCTATCTCCAGATAGTAGAAAATAAGTCTAATGACCAATTTTTTTTTTTTTTTTGTTACAAAGCCAGAAAGCCAGGTTTTTCAATGAAACCTCTTGGTTTTTAAATGTTGGCTTAAATTCTAGTGTACAAGAGTCTGACGACCAACACCATGGAGGCCAAGCCAGTGATGATGCAGGGAGTTGAGACCCCATGGGGTCTCCTTCCATGCCCCACAGAGCGGGGCAAGACGCAGTACCTCTCCATAGCCACATCTCTCCAGCATCTCGTCGGACGTGTATCGGGAATGAGGCTCGTAGGAAATGAGGTCAGGGCGTTGTACCTCGTAGATGGACTTAACCTTGGGAAGAGCCGCCAGGTCTTTGTAATTAAGGATCTCATTATCCACTTTGGCCTGGGGAAGAGGGAAGTGGATAGGAAAGAAGTAGAAGGATAAGAGGGGAAAGAGGAAAGGGAAACAAAGACAAGGTAGAGGAGGAATGAACTTAGCTGGTTTCTGCTCAACACAAAATACTAGGATTGAAGTGAAGAGTTACAGATTATTGGAATAAGAACGATCTTAGAGGCCATCCATTCTAATAGTTATTGAGCCCAGAATTATCTCCTCTAAATGTCACAGCACGTCCGGGAAGTGTTCACATCATTCCTATTGTCCCAGGTGAGGAAACAGAGGGTTAAAGTATTTCAGAGCTTGCATCATTACCTGGTATCTTTGAATGCAGTCTGAAGTAAACAATCTGCATGCTGACTGTCTTCAACCCCACGCAGTGAGGATATCCCCATGAAGAAGATGGTGAAGACGAAGTCATCATGTGGGAAAACGTACACTAACATTGGGCAAGCATGTATCGTGAGCCATGCCCTGTCACAAGTCCCTTACATGGATTAGCTCAGTTCATCTGCACAGTTCACAACTCTAATATTTGAGTTATATTATCTTCATTTTGAATAAGGAAACAGAGGCACAGAGAAATCACACAGCCAATAAGCAGCAACATCCAGGATCTGAACCCAGGTAGCCTTACTGGGAGTCCCCACCCCTCCTGGCTTCCTAAAATGTCAGTTTCACTGTCATCCTGTCTGGAGGCCAGATTTGGAAAGTTGCCCCCTATAGGGAACTGAACAAAACCTCAGACTTCTGCTTGACTTCGCCTGAGCCCAGTTCTGTAGCAGGGTGTGGATTAGGAAATAGCTTCCCCTTCACGTGGCAGCCCACCTCCCCTGGCTCCTGAGGCCTTGTCCTTTCTACACCTCTGTCCTCCTCCAGCTGTCCCCTCTGTGACCTGGTTCCTGCTGTGGCAACCAGGATGGGTCTTTTCTGTAACCGCTATGGTCTGGAAGGTCCTGAGGTGAGGTAGATTAAGTCTGAGGCCACTGGAGACAGAATCCTTACAGTACTCTCCCAGTGCCCAAAGGCTAAGTAGAGTCTCAGGGCCTGGCTAATTAGACAGCACCATTTTCACAAGTACCTTTTATGACCTTCACTATTTCAGAGACCTCTTGAGACCCTTTCACTGCACTACCCCTGTCTCCCTTCCTGGCACAGACTGTTCATTCTCCACTGCCCTGGCCTCGCTGTCTGCTCCTTCTTGCCCTGATGTGAGTCCTGAGCTCCCTAGGTTGCAGCACAGCCTCTGTTGCTCTCAGGCAGGTCTGGCCAACGGGAAGGTGAGTGGAGAAAGAGGCCAACATACTTCCTACCCTTGCCACCTTCCTGCCCAGTGGTGCCTTGGTCATAACTCCCGCCTGGTGGCTGCTGCGCCATAGCTCCGGTCTCACCAGCCTGCCAATGCTGCTCTTTCTCTTGTCTCTTTATGGCCAGGGTGGCAGCAATACCCACTGCCGATGTCTGTGGATACCTTGCCTTTCCTTGGGGGCCCCGTGCCCCTTCATGAGCCACCCCTCCCAAGCAGAACTGTCATTTGAGGTGTGCTGTATGATTTCTGCCAGGCCTGTCTTGTTGCAGACACTTACACCTCTATCAGTTTCGGTGTATGTGGGTGAGGGGAACTTTCCTGGGGAGCTCACTTGCTGAAGTCATTGGTGCCTTTTGTCCTGTGGTGTTAGATCCCAACCTTGAGAACTCCCAGCATCTTACAAACTCATCTGGATGCACAGTCATCTGAGCACTTTTCTCCAAACCTCAGAAATACTATATTTATAGTTCTTCCTATAGCTGCCCTATTCATAGTGCTATAAATGAGCCATGGGTCTGCAGGCACAGTGGTTGAATAGTGGCATCTTAACATAATTAGGAAGGCAGGCAGGAAGGAAGGGAACACATGGGGGTCGAGCCACCTGAAGATGATTCTAGAAGTCATTGGGGATGGGACAAAGTTTGAACTTCAGAAAGAACTGGTTGCAAAGAACCTATCCACTCCAAGCTCACCGCTGATTATATTTTAATGCCAAATCTCAAGTATCTATAAAAATTAAACTAATATTCCATCTTTATGCCTGGTGTATGTTCCTAATGTGGGTAGGTGGGGGCCCCACCTCCCAGTTTGTAAGCCATATTTGGAATGGCCTGGCTTAAATGTGGCTGACAGGATATGCATGTGACAGAGTAGCTGCACTGAGGCACACGGAGGGTGAGAAGGGAGAATGGAGGAAGAAACAGATGTGCAGGGCAGCTGATCTCCATGGCCAAGCCCTGAGCTGCCACCGCCCATCTGGAGGTGAGCTGCTCCTCACAGAGAACTCCAGCAGGCTTTCTCCAAACCCAGAGGGGAACAGCAGCAGCACCTGACCATGGCATCAGGCATGACCAGGCTTCTTAGTAGCACAGGGAACTGGATGGTGATCAATGCCATTCTGGCGCAGTGGCACCCTGAGCTCTCATACCTGGTGCTCCTCCCCAGGAGATATGCTCACATTTGGCAATAACTTTCTCACAGGGCAGGCTCTGAAACCAAGCCCACCAATCCTCTGTGGTTTGGTCGCACTTATACAGCAAGGAGGACTATCTTCTGTCCTATCCCAGAGAGCAACTGTGAGTGCACACAGCTTAGAATCAAAGTAGCTTGTTTGGGGCTGATGTGTGGCTCTGTGGTAGAGCACTTGCTCAGCATCTGTCTGGTCCTACCCATCCCCAGCACCTCAAAAAAGGAAAGTAAAAAGGCTTTTCTTCTGTGACAGCCACACGGTAGTACTGGCTCACACTGAAGTTGCAGTCAATAATTCTTACATCTTCTTCTTCCCATTTAATCAGAGGAAAGGAGGAAAGGAAATAATCCCATCAATGATCATGATCCGGAGATCAAAGAGGAAACCGGATGTGGATTTGGAGTAATGCTTCAGCCCTGGTACCAGGGATGCCCCGGGGTTGTGGGTTCCCTGCTTCCCACCATTCCTCCAGACTAACAGTTTTCTTGGTTCCTTTGGTTTGTGGAAGATGGAAATACTGCAGGATGTCACATGCTGCTCATTTCAGTCCTGCCTGGCCTCCCTGCCTTCGCACCTTCCTTGGCCTAATTCTGTTTGCTCCTCCTGAGTCTAACTGCCTCTTCCTCGGGAATGCCTTCTCCCAGCTGGTCCTGGGAGCACAGGCCCCTGTTTAGCTACAGTTTCATCAGGGAATCCTGCGCTTTTCTGTCTGGGCACTTGTCATAACTACGGCTTATTGTTTCATGGCATGACGTGCCCAAAGGCGTAGGGTAGGAATCAGCTCCATGTAATTCACCACCATTTACTCAGTCCAGAGCACAGTGCTTAGTGCAGGGCAGAAACTCAGCACATGTTTGTTGAGAGAATGAGTAGATTACATGTATGCCAGACCTCTTGTTCTGTCAGCCACATCACTGGCAGACGCTGAGTCTGTATTTGAATGGCTCTGGAGGTGGGAGCTTGGTCACCTGAAAGTAGGCTGCTCCATCCCTGGGCCTTGTACACAATGAGAAAGTTTGTAGTCATTTCTGCGCATTCCTTATGGCCCTGTTTCCACCTGCACATGGCTTCCTTTTCCCTCCTGCCTCTTCATCACACCCTACTCCCTCTGTGACACTGTCCTCTCAATGGCCATCCCAAACACCACTCTGATCTGCAGTTCTTGTATTGCTCTGGTCACAGTTAAGGAATGGGTTAGCATACCCTCAAACCCCACGAGCCTCATGTTCCCATGAAGGAATGGGAAAGGAGGCAACAGTTTCACACTCAACAGAGGCTCTTGCTGGCACTGCGCTTTCCTTCTCATGCTCTATGGAGCTCTACACAATCCCTGTAAGTCTTGGTTCCCTAGGCTGAGGGATTTAGAGCAAGGCACGCATCCTTAGTCTGCCTTGCTGTACCCCAGGACCTGGCACAGAGCTATCATGTGACAGGGGACACATGAAGTATTGGCTGGATAGAACCCGACAGCTCCATCCCTAGATACATCCCTAGGCCACAGATACATCCCTAGAAGCGCTTCAGAGGCCAGGCTGGTGTAAGAGAGGCCCTTGAGCCTCTGAGAGATGATACTTACGCAGATGACTCGGTTGGGTGAACCGATGCTGGACCCAGGAGGTGAGATGGAAGTTTCAGATGTCCGTCTATGCTGGGGAAGAGATAGGACAGGAGAGAAGAGGTGAGAAGTTGCACCCTCGGCTTGGTGAGGAGGGGAAGGGGGTATGAGAACATAGTCCTTCAGGGGACATTAGCAATGCCATTCAGTGGCTGTGTCTCTACTTTCTTTTTATTTTCTCTCTTTGCGATCAATGTCTGAGCGTAGATCCAACATACACAGCACTTCAGGCTGCTGGACAGAATACTTACTTACTTTCCATTTATGGTTGTAGCTAGAATTTTAAATTGGATATTACTCAGAAAACTTCTTTCATTTGGGTTATCCTAGCCAATACTATGTTTTCTTCGGATGACTATCATTTCTTAGTATTCACTCCTTTGTCGTTTATTTATTCAAAATGTGAAAGTAGGTTCGACTTCACACAATTAAAGAACACGGCGATTCTGGATGGATTAGGTCCATCAGCAGCCCAGCATGATGTCAGTCTAGCATGTCCACGGGATGACGAGGTGCTGTGGTGACACCACCAGCCGACTGGGAATCCAGGACTGTTAACGGTCCCCGTGAGTTTAGAGATTGTGGATTCCTGATGTGCAGAATGAAAGGGCTGAGCTTCAGGACTGCTCAGTTCCTTCCTGGGGCCCTCATCCTGCAACTGAAAACATGCTAAGTGGGGGCTGCGCGGCAGTGCTTTCCCAACTGGGGACTGTGAGTGAGTGACTGGCTCTGGGAAGATGAATTCCCGTGGAATGTTTGCTAATACTGAGTCATCTGGTGAGAGAGCGAAATGTAACATTTCATTTCAACCCTCTTGATTCTGTCAAGGAGAACCCGCAACTTGGTGCCAATGCATTTCAACAACTGTCTCAACAATTGCTAATTTCCTATTTTTAACCAAAGAGAATGTTGTCAACATTAGCTACAACGTTTAAGATTTATTCTTAAAAATCATTTCCTTGCCACTGATTTTATTTTATGGTTACCTTCTATTTATAGCAAGTGCTACTAGTTTTTATTTTCTGACATACATTTAAAAAATATTTTAGTTCCATAAAAAGTAGTAAATTGATTTAAAGAGAAACATTAAATTTATAATGACACAAGAAGTGGTAAGATCAACAACAACAACAACAACAACAACAACAACAACAAAATCAGGGTTTAAAAACAAATGACTTGAATTAAGGGAAATATCCCCATAAAGAAGAAGAGTGAGGAAGAAAAGAACAAGTAGATTATCTTACACTTTAAATGGGAGAGGCCCTGGAAGAAACAGAGAAAAAGTCTTGCATGGCTCAAAGTAATTACACACTAGACCAACTCTTCCACAAAACTTAGAGTAGGTGGATGACAACGCAAAGGAGGTATGTTAATGGGCTAGCTGAAAATTGTATGTTTTTACTTGAAGACATTCCAGCAGGTACCATAGTCCCAGAGAGCTCAGCTGACAGCCACAGGCCAGTGTGTAAAGGCACACTAAAGGTCACACACCCCAAGCCTGCCCCTCCACAGCGTCAAGACTCCAGGCATTCCATCCCTGCAGCCCGGGGCACTCCACCCGTTCCTTGCAATACCAGGGACCCAGTGGCACAGGCCTTCCTGGTATCCGTCAGAACACAGTAATTCAGAAGGACCAGGGGTCCAGCTAGTCTGGCGTGTGCCCAGAGATACCAGGAGTGCTTCTGTTTGGCTGAGTGTCTGCAGACAAATCACCACTTTTTTAAGATTTCGTTTTCTCTCAGGCAAGGTGGAGGTAAAATTTGCCTCATCCACCTTAAGGGACGAAAGGAATCAAATCAGGCAGTGGCTATAGAGGTGGTTTGCAAACTATCAATTAGTGTGACAATATAACTATTGATACATGATGTTAGGTTTGGGGAAAATCACGACTTGAACATCTCAGAGAAGCCATTATCTGGATCAGTATAAGTAAGGTCATAACCTTGCCAGAAGAGACACTTAAAAACTCACATGAATACACTGCTCTACTATTTTCAAAATGTTTTAATATCCAGTGTCTTAGTCCTTTCAAACCCAATCAGCCAGGTGTTCCCATTAAGAGTTTCCAAAGAGACAGACTTTTGGGAGTGACTGCTCTAAGGAACACTGTACTGAAGCACAGCTCCCCCAACTTGCAGCAAAGAGTGGGCATGTAGGACTGCTGGCCTGGTGTCATTACCAGCCCACTACCAGCCTGCTTACCTTTAATTTTTTTTCTGCTCGGGCTGCCTGCTTGCAGATGGGGTGCCAAACCTCAGAACCTAAGGGGCCAGGAAAATAACACAGACTCAGACCTTTCAAATGTACCAGTAGTCAACCACACCTACAACCTCAGTTTTCTCCCTAAGCAGCGCATTGTCCTATGTGCCAGTTATTGGCCAAGAGAACCCCTCAGCTTTCTCAGCTCTTGGCTGGCCTCTTTCCCCTAGACACTGAACACCAACTTGGACAGCCACACGCTTCTTCAGTGTGTCCACATCCTGTCTGTTCCTCAAGAGTCAGGTCTCACAGGCGTCCTCTTGCCAACTTTCTTACCTGCTAGTTGGGGGTGACTTCTGTCTTCTCTGTGTTCCATAGTTCTCTGTAGTTCTCTTCATATAGACAGCCTTAAATCACAATAGCTTGTGGACTTACTACCCTTACCAAATCAAGAGCTCCTTTCGGGCAGGAACAGAGCTTTATTCATGGTCATATCTTCCACAGCATCCAGCATGTTACTTTACTCGTAGCAGAGGTCCATACATATTTGGGGGGGTGAACGGAGGAGTGGACCATTGGCAGTGAATGACACATAGCAGGTGGTCAATAAATATTTGTTGAATGAATGAATGGCAGTGGGAGTGAAAGAAAATGACAGACTGATAAACTCCAGCCTTCTTTTCTCTTCAAAGACTTAACGAGTTACCAGAGCCATCTCTTTTAAAGGGAGGAGGTGTCATCCTGAGGACACTTTCTGACCTGCTAATTCCTCAAGAGACTCCAGAATGAATCAAATTCAGGGTACTTGTGTTGCTACTGCCCACACTTCATGGTGTGGGGGTCCAGCTGGCTGGCCCCAACCCAGAGAGGCCAATTTGGAAAGGCATGAGCAACAGGTGGCTGGGCACATGTTCGGAAGAAGCCCCAAATAGTCTACATTCCCCAGAGAAGGGACAGGTGTCCTGGATTAGAAGGAAACATAGGAACATATTATCCCTCTGGAGCCATTCCTCTTGGAACTAGCACTAAAAGGAGAGGAGCTAGCAAATGGCTAGATTTCTGAGCACCCAGATGGCACTTGTTTGTCTGACTTTGTTTCTAGGATATACTTTCTAAAACGGTTTGTTGCCTGGTGCCCCTGGGACTGTACTAGTGGCTAAGGGATAGGGGTAAGATATAGGGTCAAATAATGGGACCTCGAAGAGAAGATTAGCTGCAAGTGAGGAGTCCTGCATTCCCATCTCTCCTCAGCTCCAAACACTTTCTCTTGGAGTCTCAGTTCCTTAAGTGGAATGATAAGGAGGTCAGATTGTGTGGCCTACAAGAAGATCTTCACTCGGAGGATTTGTAATTCTAGGGATACTTCTGTTTTTTATGGAGTAAAAGTCTTCAGTTCTTGTTTGCTGGTACTCTTGGGTGTTCCTGATTATTCAGTGGCTTAATCTCACATAAAGTAAGATGCAGTGGTTCTCACAACCCAACAGAGGGACTCTGGGTCTGTGGTTTGAGCCTGTGGTCACAGGATGTGTCCAGCTCTGGGGTGGGATTGTCACTTTTGGCAATTATTAGACAGAGCATTTCCATTTCTTTTCTTTTTTTTCTGAGTTGAGCCCGAATCTACCAGAAGTTGTTTACAACTGTAGCCTGGCAGGAAACACATGTTATAGGTCACTCCAGGAAATGGATGAGGTAAACACAGGCCTGAAAGTGTCATGAGATCACGTGGAAGACACATCAGAAAGGTGAAGGGGACAGAAATCCTCCTCAGGGGACACTGTGTGAAGGGGTGGGGCTCAGGCTAGGTGGTTTTGCTGGCCTTCTGACTATGCACTGACATATCTGACCAAAACACAACTGAGCAACAAATGGCACTGTATCTAGTAGTATTAGCTTCAGCACTCCCCACATTAAAAAACACCTTTATATAAGAAAGGAGGGAAGGGGATTGGAAAAGAGAAAATATAATTAGAAACAAAAAAAAAAAGGCTTAGAAGTTCATAGTATAAGATCTAAATAAAAAAGGGTTGAAAAAGAATTTGCTGATAGTTGGTGGTAAACTCAGAGAAATAATGGTAAGAAAAAGCCACATTTTTCATGAAGATCCCTGTGAAATTATGGTTTGCTGAACTTATTCCCTTGGTCGACAACTCAACAACATGACATTAACATGATGACATCCAGGGGGGCATTGTCTTCTTGGAGTAGACTTTACCCCCAGAGCCAACAGAGTGCTTAAAGACCCAAATAAATGACTGGTTGGACTTACCTTTGTATTTTTAAAAAGATAGAAGGGGAAGATCACCTAGAGGAGTATGGTAACCGGAATAGTGAGGAGACTCAAAATTAGACTATAAGGCAGTGTCTTCTGAGAGACTGAACAGAACGGTGAAATACATTTTTGAATGTTTAATGGCTGTCTATGTAGAAGCAGCTTTAGAAGTCTTATAAGAGTAGAGCAAGAACTAAGGGGCAGAAGCTCCAGGGAAGGAAAATTTATATCTGAGAACTGAGTGGTCTTGTTTATGTTATCATTAATTTCTTGTCTTTAGTCATACTGAAGGACAGCTTAGATAGAAACATACTCAACAGCAATACTGCAGGGGAGAATCATTACATGATAATAACAGTTGAAAATGTTTACCAACTGTTCCAGTCCTTGGAGATTTTATGTTTCCACCTTAGCGGGCTTCTCTGCATAAAGAAGGTAATCATTTGCCCCATTCAGTAGTCCCAACAAGAAGGTACAGAAGGGGAATCCATATTCTTTTTTTAATAGATATTTCTGCAAGAATCAAAGAGTCTCAATAATATTCTTTGTGTTGAAAATAAACAGAAGAAAAAGGATATTCTATCTTAGGCCAGTTGGCTTTTCTAAGCTGGAGTCAGAGGTGGACAAGTAGTATCAACTAGGCACTGACTCGACAGCTACAATTTCAGACTGCGTGACTATGGGAATACCGGGGTTTGTTAAAGTGTGACCCGTGGGCTACTTCCTGACAGTCTGGCAAACTGCAGATTCCTGGGCCCTGAGCTGAGCCACTGCCACCAATTTTCGGGAGGTGGGGTCCAAATCTGATTCAACAGTTCCCCAGGTGGTGTATAACTGTGTAAATATAAGATCCAGAGAGCTAATATCAGACCATACTCCAGATTTATTTCTTTGGAATGTGGGGCTGGGAATGTAGCTCAGGGGTACAGAGCTTGCATGGAATGTCATGTAATATAGAAGTCGATTTTATAAAACAGAACTCAAACATCTTGTAAGAGTGTAACTTTGAATAACTGGGGTGGGGGAAAAGAGAAAAGAAGGAAAGGAAAAGAAAAAATATAGATAGGTACAAAGATAGCTAAGATAATTATACTACTAATTTCTATTAGTTCATTGAAAAGAATGGTTTGATCTTATATTGTTCGATCAATTTTGCATGCCTCTATCTTGTAACCTGAGCAACTACTTTGAAGATAACTATATGCAGTACATTAACCATTGTTAATTTCCTACTATCTCGTTATGAAATTCTGTGTCATTGTTTTTATCATTTTCTGCCCTTTAAAATTAACAAAAGTATAGCTTTGTTTTTTTCACATTAGACTCCTTGTTCTGGAGTTGTGTTCTCTTGTCCTCTGATATGGTCACCCACAGTTCCAGGCTGTTCCGCTGAAATCTACCATAGTAGTTACAGGAGTGCATGAAGAACTAGCTATTTCTATCAGGGCTGGTCAGAAGGAGGCCATCTGAACCTCTGGAATAGCCCCTCCGCTAGTACAAGGGCTGCTTTTCATCCTTAGCCGAGCCAGCAGGCAGTCCTATCTGACTGAGTATCATAGCGCACCCCCCACCTGTAACATCTAGGGCAGATCGAATGTTCTTTAATGTTCAGGAACCCACCCACTTCTCTGCTGGACCTTGAAATTTAATTTTCCAAAGTGTTTTTATAAAATGCCAAAGCCCAGCAGGGGTTATGAACACAGCAGTGACTGATATAGCTGGGCTGGATGTTCTGTTTGGTCAACACTCTGATTTTAAACATTTTTGAGTCTGGCTGTTTTAGACACTGCAGGCTTCCATGACTTCCAGTATCTAACGACCAGCCCTCCACACTCACTAATGTTGACACTTGAAATTCTGGCCTCTGATCCTAGCCAGGGAGTACTCACGAATCAGATTTCCTCTCCAGATCTCTTTGGACCACAGTAGGGTGAGGTTTGTCAGCCTCCTGCTTAAATGATGGCAGCACTATTTTTGTAACATAGACTAGTTAGGACCTTGGTGTTGCTCCTTTAAAACACCCATGCAGGGCTGGGGAGATAGCTCAGTGGGCTGAGCACCTGCCTGGTAATCTCAAGGACACGGGTTCCATCCCCAGTAGCACATGCCATTCTGGCCCCGTTGAGCTGGCCACCGAAACAGGGTGTGGTGGTGCACCCCTGTAATCCCAGCACTGAAGAGGCTGAGACAGGAGTGTCACTACAAGTCTGAGCTGTGCAGCTAAACCCTATACTACATAAATAAATAAATAATTTTTAAAAAGCAAAAAATAACCCCCCATGTAGATAAACAGATGCAGTCTATCCGTCCAATACAGTATAACTTAGTCATAAAAGGAATGACATACGGATGCATGGTATGATACAAATAACTAGAAAACATTCCAGGTAAAGGGATCAGTTGCAAAAGAACACATATGGTGTGATTCTATCACATGAAGTACTGAAATAGGTAAATCTAGAGAGAAAAAACAGACTGGTGATTATTGGAAATTAGGGGAAATAGAGTGAAGGGGAGCAACTGTTTAATAGGGTTTCTTGTGGGGTGAGGAAAATGTGTAGGAACAGAGGGCTAACACCAGACAACACTCCAGGTTCGTTTCTTTGGACTACAGGGCTGGGGATACAGCTCAGGGGCAGCAAGCGTGTGTGGAACATCGTGGGATGTGGAAACTAATTTTATAAGAGATTTCATGTTCTTGCCTTAACAGGTGAACACTGTGAATATACTATATGATACCAAGTAATACGCTTTAAGCTGATCTTATGTTCTGTAAACTTCATCTCAATAAAC